TATGTTTTCCATCAATCTATATATTATTTTCATATGAATTCATTAATTTTATATGAATTTTGTTATTTAAACCTTTATGCTTCTAATGTACAATATTATTAGATTAAATTTATAAAGAAAATTTAATCATTATTTTTTTCTTAAAATAAATACAGGACAACATAAAAAGCATTATTTATTAAGAAATAGAACATTAAATTACTGTATATATATAATTTTCAATACTAATAATTTGTATAATAAAAATATTATCAGTACTTATTAATATACTGTATTAACACAAAATTATTTTATATTTATATTTAAAATTAATATAAAAGGAAAATATAATTAGAGAAATATGTGAAAATAAAATTTTATATAGTTTTCAATTTATTTATTGAATTGGTGCTAGCTTTAGAATTTATATTTAAATTATAACTATTATTATTCTATTTCATATGATAATGGATATAAAATTTGATATATATATATATTTCTATTTAAATAGAAAGATACTCAAATCCAAAACAATTCAATATATCAAAAGCCTTAAGAACTTATCATCAAATAAAGTGATTGAATGATTGAATTACGATAATTATATTCAGCGATGACTATGAGGTATGGCTAAGAGGTTAAAAATAACTTATAAAATATTTTTCAATAGACAAGCAAATTATAAATGTTTGGACATTTAGTTTATGAATAGTATAAATTGAGATTTAATTTATTTGATTAAAAGCGATCTCAAACACAAAGAATGCGAGTCAATAGAAAGCAATTCAGACGCCACTGAATACAGACAATTGGCCACAATTATTGTGAACAATCTGTTGACCAGAGCTGTATCCAAAGTGAATGAACAAATATTTCAAATGAGAGCTTCACAAATGAATGTAACTCCCAAATATAATGAGACCAATTTGGACTTAATGGTAAGTAATTGTATGCATAAAAATGTGCATACTAAATGATAAATTCATTGAAAATCATTACACTTACTGTATGTCATTTGGAAATATATAATTAATTGTATAAATTGGATGCAAAGTTTGCGCCCGACATTCAAATAGATTTAGTCGGCACACGAACTCCCAGTCCCGAAGAAGAGCCTTATCTCGATTGGTCCTATAATAAGAAAGAATATCGGTTTAAAGCGCCGGTAGACCAACAGTCAACCAGTTTTGATACCGATTTCTCTATTA